GCGTCGTGGCGGACGTGCTGCTCGGCGTCCTCGCACGCAAGACACGCGTGCTGGCGACACACCAGCTGCACGTGCTGTCGCGTGCCGACTATGTTGTTGTGTTGGGTGATGACGTTGTGCGTTTCGCCGGCAGTCGTGCCGACTTCATGCGGTCGCCGGTGTACAAGGAGACTGTCGCCCACGACGCAGCGCAGAAGACTAACGATGAGCAGCACGAGGAAACTGACGTGCTTGATGGTGCGCCCGTCCCAAAGGAGAGCGCGGTTGCCGACGCCAAGAAGAGTGACGCCGACGCCGGTGCGAAGCTCATGACGGTGGAAGAGAAAGCGATGGGATCCGTGCCGTGGGCGACATACTTGGCGTACTTCCGCAGCTGTGGCGGCATCAACACAGCGCTGGTCGTGCTGCTCATCTTCTTCTTCACGGAGCTGCTGACCGTGTCGAGCAGTGTGTGGCTCTCCATGTGGTCCACAAAGCACTTTGACATGTCCGCCACGGCGTACCTCAAGGTATACACGGTGCTGGTTCTGCTGGGGACCGTCACGGTGCCGCTGCGCTTTAGCATTGCGTACACGGCGATGCGGCGGGGCTCACGCAACCTCCACCGCCTCATGCTGCGCTCTGTCTCTACTGGCACCATGCAGTTCTTCGACACGACCCCGCTCGGTCGCATTGTCAACCGCTTCTCACGCGACATTGACCGTATCGATGATGCTCTGCAGATCACCTTCATCTTCCTGTTGCAGGTGATCTATGGCATATTCTCATCGATCGGCGTGACGGTTGTTTCGCAGCCCTACGTTCTCGTTGCCATTATTCCAACGGGGTACGTGTACTACAGGCTGATACTCTTTTACAACGCTTCCAACAGAGAGATACGCCGCGTAGGCAGCACTGTCAAGGCCCCAATGCTATCGCTCCTCGGTGAGGTGCTCGTTGGCACCTCAACCATCACAGCATTTGGGCGCGTGTCCTCAATTATGAAGGAGTCGTTGCGTCGTATCGATCTTGTGTACGCGTCGTCATTTATCGAAAATGCGACAAACCGTTGGCTGGGGGTCCGCGTGGAATTCCTCAGCAATTTGGTGGTTGTCATCATCGCCCTCGTGGGTGTCATTGGGACGATGGCGCAGTTAAGCACGCACAATGTGGGTCTTGTCTCACTCAGCCTCACCATGGCGCTGGCGTCCACACCACAGCTGAACTGGCTCGTGCGTATGATTGGCAGCACGGAGGCTGACATGAACAGTGTCGAGCGCATTCTCTACTACACCGATCATGTTGATCGCGAGGACATGCCTGAGATCTCGGCGCTTGTGGACGAGCTAGAGAGCAAGGGACAACAGGCCAGCAATGCCGCAACGACTGTGGTGATTGAGGGCGGCGACAGCCACAACGGCAGCAGCGGTGATGTGGCGCGGCGCCCCGAAGCAAAGGCGGGCTGGCTAGAGTTCCGCGCGGTGGATATGCGGTATCGCGCGGGGCTGCCGCTGGTGCTGAACAAGGTCAGCTTCCGCATCGAGCCGCAGCAGAAGGTGGGCATCGTGGGCCGCACCGGAAGCGGCAAGTCGACGCTGCTGCTGACGTTCATGCGGATGGTGGACATCAGCGGCGGCGATATCATTGTGTCGGGGCGGCCGATCCGCGCGTACGGGCTGCGCGAGCTGCGGCAGCTCTTCTCGATGATCCCGCAGGACCCGGTGCTCTTCGACGGCACGGTGCGCTCGAACCTCGACCCGTTCCTAGAGTCGACGCCGGAGGAGGTGTGGCACGCTCTGCAGTTGGTGGGGATGCGCGAGCGCGTGGAGGCGGAGAGCGGCGGCATCGACAGCCACGTGCAGGAGGGCGGGTCGAACTACAGCGTGGGCCAGCGGCAGCTGCTGTGCCTCGCACGCGCCTTGCTGAAGCGCGGCAGCAGCTTTATCCTGATGGACGAGGCCACCGCCAACATTGACCACGCGCTCGACCGGCAGATCCAGCACACGGTGATGACCGCCTTCGCCTCGCACACCGTCATCACCATTGCACACCGCCTGCACACCGTCGCGGCGTACGACAAGATCATTGTGATGGACCACGGCGTTGTCGCGGAGGTGGGCGCCCCGCGCGAGCTCGTGGCCAATCCATCGTCAATGTTCCGCGCGATGGTGCAGGCTCTCGGTCCCGCGGGGGAGGCGGAGTTCCGGGGCCTCGTCCTGTCACAATAGTTTTTTTTGCATGTTGTTGTTTTGGGTGGTCAATGGGCGTGCATGCCGCGGTACCTCGCCGATGTATTTGGGGTGCAGGCGCCCCTGCTCTCGCGCGAAACGGCCGCCATCGTTGTGAGTGCCAATGCTGCCTCTCTTTCTTTGCCTGTCCGTGTGTCCCCCGAGCCGACCTTCCTCCCCCCTCTTCGTCCGTTTGACGTGTGCTGTTGGAGCTAAGGTCTGACGCAAGGAGAGCATGGGGGCTCCCGCCGCTGTTGTGACTGGGGCGGCAAAGCGCATCGGCCGCAGCATTGCGGTGCGGCTGCATCAGCAGGGCTACAGCGTCGTGGTGCACTTCAACAACTCTGTGCAGGCGGCGAAGAGCCTTGTGGCGGAGTTTAACGCCGCACGTGCGGGGTCAGCAGTGCTGTGCCAGGCCGACCTCACCTGCGCCGCCGGCATCACTGCCCGCTGCGACGGTATCATCGACTGCTGCTTCCGCGCCTTCGGCCGCTGCGACGTGTTGGTGAACAACGCATCGGCGTACGACGCGACGCCGCTGCTACCGGAGAGTGACACGCGGGATGAGTCGGCGGAGGCGCAGATCGCCAATATCTTCGGCTCGAATGCCATTGCGCCACTTCTGCTCATTCGCGCCTTTGCGCGTCGGCAGACGGCGGAGCCGAGGCACGGCCGCAACCTTTCGGTGGTGAACCTCAGTGATGCCATGATTGAGCGGCCGCTGCCAGGCTTCTGCATCTACACGATGGCGAAGCACGCGCTGCACGGGCTCACCAAAGCGGCGGCGGCAGAGTTAGCGCCATGCGGCATCCGCGTCAACGCCGTGGCTCCGGGGATCAGCGTTTTGCCCGACGCGATGCCGCCGGCGGAACGGGATGAATGGAGGCGCAAAGTCCCGCTCGGCCAGCGCGAGGCATCGGTGGAGCAGGTCGCGGAGGCCGTCGCGTTCCTCGTCTCAGGCGGCGCGGCGTATACCACAGGCACCACGCTTAACGTGGATGGTGGATTAAGTCTGGGACGAGCCTAACCAGGCCGGGTGCTGTGTTGCTGTTGTTAATATAATTAAATTTGCTCTGCACGGTTCCCTCGTCGCCATGCTTTTCGCCCGACGTACAAGCGAGGTGGAGAAAATGTATGAGCGAAGCAGCTTTCAAAAAGAAAGTAAATGGAAAGAGCTAAAGGAAGAGGAAGCATTTATTTTGAACTGTGGGTCCGGAAGTAAACGGTGTGTAGTGCACTGGCGAGGGGCGGTTGGGATGCGGCTCTCCAGCCGTCTGGCTGTGTTTGAAGCAGTGGGTGGTGACGTGCAGGGTGTGCCGTGGTGCCTCTTATCCCCGCACTCCATGTGAAGGAATGTCTGCCATTATCGAGCAGAAGTGAGGAGAACGCATCTTGAAGCCATGGTCATAGACGTGGCTATTGCTGTCGCTTCCATTCCTACCACTTTTACTCTGGCCATTGTTTCTGTTGTCGTTATTGGCACTTCCAGCTGTTCGTCCTTGTTGTGGGGCTGCAGCAGCAAGTGGTGTGTTGACGCGGAGGATGGATAGATCGTGAGAGAAAATCTTTCTATAACCTGTTTGCGCTGATCATATCCATCGGGTTTCTCTTTAATTATATGTGTGTATATATGCGTATCTAGCCCGCATTTGGTTTGTTGTGAAGATTGTCTCACGCAAGGCAGCAAGGAAAGAATATGCATCATACAAGAGAGGCAAACAATGCACGGAGATGTCAACGCGACACGAAGAGCCTGGAGGAGATGGTTGTCAGCGTGATGGAGCAGTACCCCATCGAGAAGAAGGCCGTCCTACCGCTGCGAGCAGATGTGGAGGTGAAGAAGGGCCACACAAACGCACTGCCGCGGTTCTCAAGGCGGCGTGCTGCGGCGCACCGCACAGAGGAATGCTTCACGCCGTTGAGTGATGCAACGCCGTGGTGCGGTGCGGTGCAAGGGGGGGCCCCCGTCGCGGGGGACGGAGGCGGTCAGCAACAGGCTCTCTCGTCTCGAGCTCGGCCGGATTTAGATGCGAGAATCAAAAAGGAGACTCTGCGACGCGCTCACCAGATGATTGAACAACAACTTCGTCTCCGCCAGGCTGAGGCGAAGCTGCAGACATTGATAGCGGGTATTGATGCCTCCGTCAACCGCATGCGGAAGGAGCTCAAAGATGAGCCTGAGGCTTATCCTGTGGCTCCCAACGTTGCCAGTGCCACTCCACCCACACAAACGACCACCACAGATGTTCGTAACGAGACGACGGAAACGGCAGTTGTGCCTTTAGTAAGCATTCGGAGAATCCAAGGCGTCGCCTCGTGCACATCGCCCTCTCTTGACACCGCAGCCGACAACGTTGACCAACGACGTAAGTATCTGCAGGGAGGGCCGCTGCGTGGGCTTCTTCAGCGCCCAAAAGGGGCCACCATTGCTGGAGAAGACGGGGGTCAGTGGGGAGAGTACGCGCTGTTTGGAAACAATGTGGGCACGAAAGTTGCTGCTGCACATGGGCAGTGGGGATCTACAATCAAGCAGGCACCCGATGGGGCTTTTATTTCGGAGAAGCCCTCGGCGTCACTCAATGGTGCTGCGGATGACACAAGAGAGGTGGGTGCGCAGGACACTGAGGCTGTGGATGTGGCTGTGCGACGCCTTGTGGGTTTGCCCAAACACGATCGTGGCCTTTATGCCGCCCTCAGGTCTGGGTGGAAATCCGCCTGCAAGGCCAAGACGCTCGCGCGGATGCTGTGGCGTCAGCGTGTGCGGTCGTCCAGTTGGTGGCGGCTGGCAGGCTCGCGCGAGGGGATGCTAGAAGCCGCGCGTGCGTTGGGTCTCGAGCCCGCCGTGTACCAGGCAGTGATGATGCGTTGGGTGGGAGCACACAGCGGCACCGCGTGGGCGGGAGCACACAGCGGCACCGCGTGGTCGTCCGCAAAAAAAACTGGGGCCGGTGCGGCAGCCGTGGCAGCGCTGCGTGGAGTGTTTGCGCACTCAGGGAGAGCCAGAGGGGCATCCCCGCTGGACGCAGACGATGAGGAAATGCAGAGCATGCTGGGACTCGCGCGCCAACTGGGGCAACTGAAGATGAGAGGCATGCTCACGTCCGAAATGATTGCACTGCTGCACGAAGGAGATGTTGAACTCGTGAGGCAGGAGGTGAACAACCTGCTGAACTCTGAGGAAATGCGCATGCATGCGGCGCTGCAAATGCCCGGTTCTGAAATGAATATCTCTGAGACAGACGATGCATCTTTTCATGAGATGGCGAAAGTTTTGTTGCAGGAGAAGCGGCATGCGGCTATGGCGGCTATGGAGGCGAGGCAACAGGGCAAGGTGGGCACCACACTGGGGCTGGAAGGGAGTGCTGTTGGCTCTTCCGGTAGTCGTCCAGACTCTGTGCGGTATGGTGGAAAAACTGAGTTCGGATACGACAGCATTCCCCCCTCTTTGCAGAAGTTGGCCATGCACGGCGATCACCTGCTCACGCCGGGGGAGACTGCAGCACTTTGGGCGGGCATGGACGAGGATGAGCGGAAGGCACTGATCGCAGAAGCAGAAGCGGAAGCGGAAGGAGGAAGAGGAAGCAAATCTAGTTCCGGGGACGTGTTTGCGCGCCTTCCCCCGCTGAGAGGCGCTGATGATGGAGAGGCGCTGCTGCGCGTCTCCAGGGGTGGTCGCCGTGGGCGTGGCAGACGCGGCAGGCAGTCCTCCAGCAGCTTACAGGACTTAAGTAAGTCTGAAACAATCTCTCCATTTGGCGCGACGCAGAAACCGGGTGGCGCCGTGGCGGCGGCGGCAGCAGCAGCAGCAGCAGCGGAACGTGCAGAAGGAAGAAAGCCGGGGACGGGTGAGTCCGCATCGCCGGAGGATGTGGATAACGATGAATACCGCGGCCCCGAGTGGTGGAAGAAGCAGCAGCGTCCCCCGCCTGGCCCCAAGGGCGGCTGGAGGCCGGCTGAACAAGACAACAGCATTGAGGGAGACGCTGGTAGTCCTTCGGTGGGAACGGACGACGGCACAGTCGATCACTTCACGCCGCCGCGTCAACGTCGCCGCACGATGCAAGATTTTGGCGCCAGCAACCGTAGCGGCGAGACGAGCGCGCGGTTGAAAGGACAGCTGCCACCGCCGCCGTGGACCGTTGAACGGCGCGGTGGTGCTGGCGAAGTGCGGGAGCGGCCGCGCAAAGTCAGTCGCTTTGTATTTGACGGCAAGTTATACCTGAACAACGGCGACGAAAGCACCACCGAGGCTGGCGGAAGCGACGTGAGACGCCGACGTGGCCGTCGTGAGCTTCCCAGGTTTGTGCGCAGGTCGAAGAATAACTCCGCGTTGCCGCGGACCGACCCCGCAAGTAGTGACAGCGACCACTCAACGGAGGACTCCGGCGAGCTCAGCAGTCTCTTTGAAAACGATGACGAGGAACTCGTGCTGTTCCTCGCGACGTTCCCAGAGGAGGAGCACCACGTGCGGCTGCGCAACGAGGCGAAGGGCGTGCTAGGCGAGCTCGGTGAGAGCAGCAGCCTGCTGGTGAACTATGCCACCAAGGCGCGGCAGCGGCAACGGCAGCCGGACACCGCGGGGCTGCAGCTGCTCGTCGGCATCGACACGGAGGAGGAGGAGGAGCGCGCGATGAGGCTCAAGCTGGACAAGGACGAGATGCAACGCCGCTTCGAAGAGGAGGCGCATGAGGAGCACTCGGATTTGTGGCAGACGCTGCTCGCGCTGCGGAAGCAGGTGCTCGCGCAGGAGGCCTTCCTTGACGAGTGCAACCGCGACGTGCACAACCTCTCGTACCCGTCGCCCGGTGAGGACCGCGACGCCTTCGCGATGCGCATCACGCAGGAAGTGAACGAGTACGCCAAGACGCACCGCCTGGATCCGCAGTACCTGCGCGAGAGCGCCGACGCGCGGAAGGACTACGCGACCGCGGTGCGCGCGTTTCTTGAGAGCTTCGCCCTGACGCGCGGCCGCCGCCTGGGGCACGACGTTGGCGTGCAGTGCACCCCGGAGGAGCTCGGCTACGTTGACGCGGACGTGCAGCGCACGGAGGAGCAGATGGAGGACCTCTACTTCCACGCGCGGGGGCTGCTCAGCGCGATCCGCCTGACCATCGTCGCGGTCGCCAACGTCATGGGCTTCCACGCGTCGCTCGAGTTGGAGTCGACGTGCAAGCGCTGCTTCTTCATCTTCGAGTCCCCGCGGACATTGTGGCCGTGCGGGCACACCTTCTGCCAGCAATGCCTCACCGGCATGCTGAGCGAGCAGGGCGAGCTCATCTGTGACGAGTGCGGCTCGCTTTGCGAGGTCGGCTACACGCCCAACCTCGCGCTTGACCTCGTGGCGAGCTACCAGGTGATGCAGAACATCGACGACGAGGACGAGGACGAGGAGGTGGTCGGCTTCATGCAGCGGCGCACGATCGAGGGCGTGCTGGCGTCGCTGCTGCGGGACCTCACCGGCACGCAGAACACGCTCACCGACGCCCCGTGCACGACGGCCTGCCGGTCGCGCAGCGCCCCGTCGTCGCCGCAACAGCAGCAGGGAGATGTAGCATAGCTTGTGCAAAGTGAATGAGGAGGAACCGAAACAAGAAGTGATGAAAATGCGTGTTGGTTGCTTGTGCTGGGGTTTTTTTTTGTTTGGT